TTAACTCCAGAGTTTACCCTCAGCATAAGTAAATCATGCACCTATTTACCTACAGGTACGTGTATTTAACATTTAGGACACTACTGTCACCATTTTTTCTTGTCTTGCAGCCAACCACTCCAGGGTCTCTATCCTGCCCTTCCCCAGCCCTGGCTCGATCCTTTCCCCCAACCCGACCAGCCCAGATAACCCCTACACGGCCGAGGGCAGCAAGAAAGTTGTTGGCTGCTCTAGCTGGAATCACTCTCCTGACCTTCAGCAGCTAGTGCTGGGCAAGGGAGCAAAGGACCATGATCTGTCAGCCGGACAAAGGGACCACATATGCAGACAAGAGGGAGACTAAACATACGGTGGTTTTGACTTCAGAGCACCTGTCACACATCAGAGGCACTTAAAAATTGCACTTAGAGGAAGAGCTTGTATTCCCCATCAGTCAGTGCTGAGACATCTAGTAAGACTCCAGCATGTCAGACACAGCAGGTATGCCACAGACAGAACCCATCACCAGATCTCTAGCTATACAGCTTGCCACCCTTATTCCATTAGCTAGTTTGAGTGGGATATTTTATTTTTTAAAGTTCGAGAACCTCACTACTGGGATCTAAGCCTCAGTAATACAGACCTAGTTATTCCTCTTCATGCTTCCTTCCAGAGCTTTGCTTTCAGGGGCAGGTATTCCCCAACTCCTCTGACCAAAATGATGCTTTACACAGGAATCTTTCAACAACAGCCTAAGGGCACACAGCTCTTGAGTTTATAACTGACAACTTTCCTTAGTCTGTCGACCCCTCATACCAACACTACTTCATGAAGGATGTCACGACACACTTGAATATTTTTTAAAAAGTTACTAGGATGCCTTCGGAAACCAAGATGTCAGAGATCAGCAAGGAAAGAGCCCTGTAAGACTTTCAGCCTTCACAGACGGTGTAAATTCACTCTTAAATCCAAACCCAAAAAGGAGGTCAAGCAGCAAATTACTCCCACAGATCAAGGGTGCCGCAGGCACAGACTGCCCTTAGTCAAGCTTTGGAGGCTGATCCCTATGCCTTTATCCTCAGCGAAGAATTTTTCCTATTATGAGCATCATACACCAGCAAAAAGTTTTTTTTTAAGGTAGTTTAATGGAAGCTTGGTTTTAATATCAGCTCTAACTGGTGATGTGATTTTAAATCCTCAAAGTTCCCTCTGTCTGACTGTTCCTGGCTAATCACCTGAAGAGAAACCCTGCTTCCCAAGAAGGGCTACAAACATTGTCTGAACCATTAATCCACCTTTGGTTGATAAGATCCACTAAGGACAAACAGTAAGAGAGTACATTAAATTTAAGACAGAGAGGACACATTCCAGAACTCATACTTCCCCTCAGGAAGCTCTTCAGCTGAAAGTGATTGCAGACTAAACATCATAACTTCTCATCCTGTTGCTTTTTCTTTCATAGGCCTGATTTTGGCCCCTGTTGAAGAAAGAATATGGGCTAGCTGCACTCGTGGCACTGACCAACATGACTGTTACTAAGCAGCGAGGCAGTACAGAACCCAAGAACTGGTCATTACATAGTCACTAAACAAACATGGGTTCACAGTTTATTAAAAATGCTGGCTTGCATCTTCACTTTATGACTTTCAATCCAATCATTCATGCTTCCATCCCAATCTGCACTGCAGGCTCAGCAGGACCCACTTACCACCTACAAGAAGCTCTAGATCAGCAAGTACATCCATTCGTGTGAATGGTTGACTGACTTTTTCCCAGAGCTGGAGAGGCAAGGAAGAAATATGCACACAGCCACCGCAACAACTTTAAGAGATGTATCCATAAAAGATATATCTGATCATCTTAAAAATGACCATTCCCTCACGGATGAGCAAGAAGAGTCAATACATTAGACCCCCCCTCCCCCTAAGAAGTCTTGACCTAACCATCAGACTATAAAAAGCAAATATTCATTTGCACACAGGGGAGTCAGGCCGAGAGGCAGAAACAGGAGAACAGAACAAAAAGCACAGCTGCTAAATTGGAGGAAGAACAGTAAGCCAAAGGGATAAGTCACTTGTGCTGTGGGAACCTCTGAACAGTCAAGATTGCTCTCATCTCCTTTGATTAAACAAAAGCCTTGTGCTTTTTGCACTGGAGCAGAGTCCAGCTTTACAGGACTGACAGTGAGCCCACTAAAGTAAGGACAGATGTTAGCACTGGCTTGTTTAAAAAAAAATCAAAAAGCAAACACTGAAAAGAGCCAGTTATAAAGATCGGTGAGAGCCTACACATATCTAAGACAAGATGTTGATGGAAGACCATCAGGATTATAATGTCCACAAATTAATGCCCATCTACAGAGTGCAAGCCAGACTTAGCAGAAAGCTAAGATTAAGGCTACTGGAGATGACAGAGCAGAAGAGAGTTCAGAAGAACTGAATCATCAGGGAGAAGGAGAGACTAGTCACAAGAAGAGAGAAAAAGAAACATTGGAAGACAAGCTCAAAAAGGGATAGAGGCACAGGTAAAGAAAAAAAAAGCAATCAAGCCACAGTAAGTTTAACAGAATTATTTAATGGTGATCAAATTCCAACACATTACAACAGTACAGGTAGATAATGTCAGAATAGATCTATTCACACACACTTTCCAGAAGAGGGTAAGGTAGGGGCAGCAAGATGGTAGCCGTAGGAATTTCTCCTAATACCTCTGATTGCTGTTATACATGCAGCGGTTAGTCTTCATAGATCCAGAATGCTGGACAGCAGGTTTTTCCTGCTTTTAATCCTCCATTGGGCTCCCTTCAAAGCATTTCTTGTCCCTGTGTATTCCCCGTAGTAAACAGCTTCTCCCAAACCCCAAACAACTAACACTTGCCACTTTGGTCATGGACTTGCTATAGAGTTGAGCCTATACAGAGGAGCCAAAGAATGGAAGAAAATAAGAGCTTAAGGGGAAGAGGGTACTGAATGTTTTCCAGCTGTAAGGGGGAGTCAGAGAGGCAGACTTCCCTAGTGCTGAAGGAACAAGAGCAAAGATTGCTCCAAGGGTACTTAAGGAGTGGTTGTGACAGAGGACAGCCTTTCCTCTACTCCAGTATCTCTAGGGGATTTCATTCTTGCAGGAGAATGTTTCCAAGCTTTGCCTGGGCAAGCAAGCCTGCCCAGAGCCAAAGCCAAAGGGCTCTTCAAGCTACAGCAGAAGTGCTGCTGAGTACATTCAGTGATGATGTTTTGTCATGCTATTCTGATTCTTTAGAGCAAGATGATGTTGTAACTGCTTCGAGCAGGACCACTGCACCTCCCACACGCCCAGGTGCTCTGCCATGTTCTCTGCAGCAGCAAGAGCTGCCCTTGGCACATGAGGAACGCAGTCCTTAACACAGCAAAGCGTTTCCATCATCCTTCCTTCAAGGCTTCTGATCTTTTACCATTTATCAGAACGGAGATCAAGGAGAACAGCTCTAGAGCAGTTTTGCTACTATGAATAGTCAAATGACGACTAAGTCAGAAAAAGCAACCAGGCATTTCTGTCACTAGCTGCAGCTTCTGAGAACTAGAAAAGCTACTACTTGGCCTAAAGTGGCAAGGGACAGGTTACCACTTGCTTTACTGAACACAGTAGGGACACAATTGCATCTAACTTAGCTCCACTGTGTTTTGCTACAACATTTGACATGTGCAGACCGCAAAGAAAGATCTGTAGACACTCCGACATGCAGCTTATTTTAAAGCATCTGTATAGCAAAGTAATCTCAACGAAAAATTAACTCTTGTATTGCCAAAAGGCTCCTACTAAGAAATGCCATTAGCGCATCCTACCTAAGGATAAGCTAGATACATCAAGTACTGTACTCAAGTCCTCCAGTACTGTCTAGAATCAGCTTCGTCCTAATAACTAGGAGGCTGGATTCCATGCAAAGGCAACATTACCTGTTCAAGCTAACGGGCAATTCCTGCATATTGAACAGCAGCCATTCAGCGTTAAGCTAGAGGATCGTGTCATTTTGTATACAAGTATGACAGATGACATACATAAACAGCCCCTGAAAACTCAAGTTACAAACAATACACATGAGAACCGGGTAGATGTACTGTCAATCCCAGCATGCTCGATACAGGCAATGAATTTACATGCTGTATGGCTCACTGAACTTGAAGTCATTTGTCCTCCGGTTTATTCTGTTTTATTGGATAGATGTTGATGAACGTATCTAACGCATCCAGTCATGTAAGCGTTCCAGCTTTACATCAATGCCAGAGTTAGAGGAATCTAAAAAGTCTGTTCTTTATAAAGTTATTCTTCAGCTAACTTAGCACACAGCAAAAGGAAAAAAGGAAACTGAATAAGCACTTACAGCCTATGTCCAAAGAAGTCTCAGTACAAAGAACCACGCAAAGTGAAGTAGTTAACTGTTAAAACACTATCAAGTCAAAAAAATTTGGACAAACGACTGAAAAAAATCAATCATATGACAATTTCAGAGTTCCTAGAAAGGCAGTGAACAGAGTCTGTGGCTTCTTGTGCCGTTTCACACTTTATAACATAGCTGGACAATACAAAGGTTTCAGAACAGCAAGTCATTGCGACACCCAGCCCTAAGAACGGCTATGAAACAGATCACGTTTTAGGTTAAATCTTAAAAGAAGAGCTCCCTTATCTAGTTCACGGTACCACCCTCAACAACAAACGGCCAACCCACCTGAGGGGCAGCACAAGAACTCCTTGAGCAGTACTGCCAAGCTCCCTTTTACCAAACCACGGCTTTTGTGGTGCCACCAGCAAAAGAAGTCCAAACTGTTTAAACATTTCATTCCAAAAATGACAATCACTTCAACACAAGTGTGTTAATACAGCATCCAAGTGGAAGTTATTCAAGCATTCAAGACTGGACTGCCACAATTAATGTACTGTTGCACTGCTTTCTGACAGCTGGCATATGCTACCTCCGCACCATCACAGAAAGGGAAGCCATAATCCTCAATGCTACACTTGCTAGTATTCCTTTCTGCTGCTCTCCAGCTTACAACTCTTCTGTACAGGCCTCTTGATCCGTTTTGGTCCTCAGCAGTTACAGCCATCAGACAGACCTGTCCCAACAATTGCTCTCGTAAAGCAGTAAAGGGAGCCCACTCGAAATAGCTTACTGCAAGGTGTGCTACAACTCCAAACTGGTTTGTATTTCTTAGAAACAGAAAACATGACCCTTCCCCTGCCCTGAAACCTAGATGGATGACTTCACTGTAGCTGATGCATGTTCTTTCCCCCGTCACCAAGGGTCCAGCAGGAGTGCTAGCCTACATGTTAAGACAGCAGCTCAGTAAGAAGTAAGGCCACATCACAGTTAAAGGTTAAAAGACCAAGAGTTCAGGCAAACTTGTAGCCAGTAGCCCGCCTACTTCCTAATTTTGCCACTGTAGCATAAGCAGTTTTCATGTCTGAGGCAGTTTCTATCCAGAGCCACACTTCAGTGGTAGGCTAAGGCTACTTAATGCTTTCTAAACCAGAAGAGACTAACACCTTGTGGTATTGAGTTTAAGTATTGAGTATTTAAGTATTGAGTTTAAGACTACTCAATAGCCAGTTCATACCTCTGCACATCATGTTTCTCCCCATTCCCCAGGAGCTCTGCAACACCCCTATCCCTGTTAGTCAGCCAAAGCACATGGCCATGTGCTCCACTTCTTTTCAATTGAAGCTCTGCACCACTGTTTCAGAGACCTTCATCAGAACACACTGCTTCACCCCCAAACAGCGGTTCTCAGGCAGCAAGCCTGTCACATGGCAAAGGCAGCTGTCTTCACACCTGCTGAAGATGCGCACAATATCCAAGTTTCACCTACAGCTTGCTGTACAGAAGACTCCAAAAAATACTGCTAACATTTATATCCAGAAGTGTATACACAAGGACATTGAGAGATGAGACAAGTGGAACAGATTTAGACCAAAAGCAGTGGACATTTATTCCTCATTTGTGCAAGAGTGTAAAGACGCATTTGAAAATGGATGGGACAGACCCCTGTGGCTGGAGGCTACAGCCTCTTCTTCATAGTTGATGGCTTTGTTTACAATTATATTAAGAGGAGATAAACTTGCAGACTCACCTATTTCACATGAATGATGCTGGCAAATACACTTGTATACAAAGAAAAGTTTCAAACTACATTTTCCACTAGATTCAAGTGAAGATTTTGTTCAAAAAAGACACATACAAGTACAATTTAAAACTGTATGAACATTTGCAAATGTTTAGTGCAAAGTAATTATGTAAAAGCTACATTTTATGAAAGTTTGTGCTGATGTGTTTGGTAATTTTTAACCCTTTTACATCCATTATTTTAATTACATAAGGTTTCACTTACCTACATATGCATTGTGTTAAGTCCCATGCAAGTGGGAATAATACCATCAGGCTTTGTAAAATGTCACTCGGATTCTCACTTAGTAAACTGCTTATTTGGTTTAACAGTCAAGTTCCTGGCACGCTATACATCTTGATTTCACGTAACTTTTTAAGCCTATGTCTGTCTTGTTCAGGTGCATAGCCTCGTGTAATGCAAACCAAATTGCTTCATGATTTTCAAATGCAACCATTTGTGAATGCAGAAGTTTCAGGGAAATCCACCATTAGTTTTAGCCTGTAACAAACTGCTCTTAAAATTAAAAGCCTATTCACACAAAGTTATATGTAATGACTGTAGTAATCAGTTTATTACACAGATTAATCATTCTTGAACGTACAAGCTCCAGGGGAGCAGTTGGGTCTTTAAATATACACAAGTTTTCTGTCAAATGAATTTTTACCCTTACATCCAGAAAGACCTAAGCAGTTAAAAAAAACTTAAGAAAAATAAGAGCTATTAGCTATGTATTAACTGAGAAACCACATACAAACCCAAAAAAGTATGAGGGAGGGGAGAGAGAGTTGAAACAAATCAACATCACTTGATGCACTAATAGCTCCAATCCATTTAAATGTTGACCAGTTAAACTTAGACCTTAAACACAGGATGTGGGTACAGTTTATCTCATTGGTCATAACATTTACCTAAGGTGTAGGTCCTTCGGAATAAAATGAATACAGAAACAGCTTCAAGTTCTTCACCTTGCTTTTCATAACTGTTATGAGTTTAAAAGGATTCCACTTTTAATCCTTCATGGATAGGCAAAACTGTCCCTAGAAATATAGGAAACCCACCAGAACTCTCCCCTTCACATTGAATTACCCAATTTAAATCAACAAGGAATACTTTTAGGCTCACAAAGTTATGATTGAAGAACTGGCTTTTCACACACACACTTCTTTGCTAGGAGTCAATGTTGGTACGGGGAAATACAGTATTTCTATTTTGTTGTTCCAAGTATGTACAACACGCAGCACTGCTGTATCAGGTAAACATGTGCACAGGGGAAGATGAGGCGTGGGCTCATAGAAAGCAGTCAAATGGAAATCAAAAGGACTTTCTCTTTCAGAGTTCCCCTATCTTTATTTGTAGAGGTTATCCAATAATTTCTTTAATTACATCGCATACTTCTGAGTCCATTCCCGAGCTATTCTGTTGTACCTGTATGTATAAAAAGAGGATTTACTTAACATTCATCCAAACAGTATATTTCAACTCCAGCAGCCTAGTCTACCTCTAGTAGTAGGAGGAGTTTGTCAAATTTAAGGGCAAACTGAAGTATCAGGCAAACAGGAGGGGAACAAAAAAAAAAAATCCATACTGCTTCACGGGAAAAACAAAACAAACTTTGCATGTTTACACCAGGAACAGAAGACCTTTGTGACTGAAGCCACAAAAAGGCCAGTGCATATTTCTGAAAGTCTTTACCTACTCCCTCCCTCCCCAACTGCCATCTCTCTGGGGAAACTATTACCACATATTAATTCTGGCATTCTGGAAAACTCAAATTAATATTTTCTTCCCACTCCATTCTTCCACCCTTAGAAATAAGGCTAAGCCTAATACCTAGTGTATACTAGGCTGTCAAATTCTGACAGGCTCACAACAGCCTTTCAGACTGCTTTTTTCATGCCATACGTTACATTTGGCTATTTTGATGACTATCAGCACACAGAGTTCATCCACCAGAAGTTTTTATTCTGAAGGCACAACATGCTCCTTTTTGCAAGCCAACTGTACTCTTTCTGCACTAGAACACCCTTTCTTGCCAGAGTCACATCTAGAGGAAGCTCAGAATAGTAATGTAGAACAGAGCCATCCTTGTGGTTAACAGCACTGATAAAAGCTGCATTTCCAACAATACAAGCTGTTCTCATTCTACATAGTTTTTTAGGAAAAAAGCATAAGACACTACAGTGGCAAGAAGTTTTCTAATTCTATACATTGACTAGGTTCTTGTACTGACATTTTGTCTGTAGAAGAAAGCTCTCTGTAGCCCAAGAAGTTAAATAGACCACCCATGTGAATGCAGGAAAGCAACTGTTACTTCACTGTTCTGAGACTACTCAAAAGGAGGTCCAGTTATATTGTAGCACAAAGCTTTCATATTTTCAAAGAAATATGAAAGAGTCCTTCATACTTTAAGTGCCAATTAGCCACTATTAATTCTCTCAAAAGACAGACTGCTATTCTTGCAGCTCCGATTAACAACAGGCTGCGTGGACTTCCCTAACCCTGCTTCTCAGACTTCCAGTATAGTGAGCAAGTTTCTGGATTATTTCCCCTTCCTCTCTATCTTGTTTGCATTAGATGATCGTGCAACTTCAGAAATTAACACTACTGATCAGATCTGGAAGGGAACAGTAAGGTGGAGGAGCGTTTACAGTGTCATTAAGCTGTTGCTTTCAAATAAAGCGATTTAAAGCTTTTTTTTTTTTTTTTTTAAATCAGTGCTGGAGTTCTCTCCTCTTTTTGTATTTTGCTTCACAATAAGCTTGAGAGTTCTCCCATCTGACCTCTACATCACTCACTTGTTCTTCCCTTTGTGTTGTCAAAGGGAGGTGAAACAAGGCATTTTTGTTATTTTTCCCGCTTGCACCACCTCATCACCAATAGCTAGCATGGAAACATTCTCCCACTAAAATAACTTGCTCTCCCTCTGCTGGTTATGTAGAGTTAAAGCACACAGTCAGGCTCTTGAAGCTGTTCATATAAAATACAGGTTTGCATTATTCAGTCAGCACTTCCATTAAACAACGTCAAGCAAGCCTATAATTAAAAACACTAATGAAAAACTATTTTGTGAGGTAAGAACTCTACTGTAATAAACCCACCTAAGTACAAGATCCCCACATATTAACTTCCAACAGCATATACACCTTGTTCCTACATCAAGGCCGTTAAAACAACTGTATTAAGATCCCAGAAATATCTCTGCAATGACCATGGTTTAAGAGATAAAGGCATATCAAAGATTAGACTCTTGCAAGCAGCAGCTCCTTCCAGTTCCCCTTTACTATTTTTCAAGTGAGGGTTCTGCTCCATCAAGGACGTTACAAGCTTTTGGCTTCCATACTCACTTTTCTCTATCTGTTTTGTAGATCCGTGCAATCTCAGGCACTAAAGGATCATCTGGATTGGGATCACACAACAGAGAACAGATGGACAAAAGTACTAGGGAGAGAAAAAATACTGCATTAGAGTTTAAGTGCAGCTGAAGACACCTGTAGAAGCAAGTCAGCCTGTTTGCTTCCCCCTTAGTCATTAGTATTAGTATCATTGTAAACACATCAAGGAGCAGTCAATCCCACATACTTCAGCCAAGTGACTTCGTACAAAAATTCTTACCGTTTAAACTAGGCAGCTTTGCACGACGACCACGAGTTTGTTCGAGTATTACCACAACAACTGGGAACCTCCTGGTCAGGAGCGTCTGATTACAGCCTTAAATCACAGGTCAATACAGAGCTGTTTGAAACATCAGCTGAAGCCTTCTCAGAAGGTGTCCCTGCTTTTACATTTGAATGCAGATTTCACCTAACCCAGACAATCCCATTGTCAGGGACACATAGAAGCACTAACCAAAGTCAAAACGCAGAAAGACCCAGAGATGAAGGAAGCCTGCCTGAACTGCTCACAGCTACTTAATCGCTGTTTTTTAAAGTCCTAGAGCTTTGCACAGAGAATTAAGTTGCTTCATCCAATTATTTCCACAGCATAGGGTTGAGATAACTTAATTGTAGAACAGTACTCAACATGAACTGAGAAAGCACAGCTTACTGTACTCATACCAACCACAAAGCCCTGAACTTTACTATAAATATGTACTGTATATATTCCAGAAGCCACCTCCCGCTTACAGAAAGCATCATCATTTAGCATCAACCTTTGTCCATGTAAGGAGTTAAAAGACGGCTTGCAGAACTACAGGCAGCATACGCACATTCCTACATTTGCACCAAAATGGACAAAAGGCAGCAAGTCATAAGCAAAGCATATTGAAACACTAAGCGTGTCATGGACTTCTTGCCCCTACAGGCCAAACAATCTTCTGACTGAAACAGGTCAAGAGAAAGTGGTACAAATAATGCCACTCTATGTCCTTTCACTGCTAGCTAGCAGCAACAGCAGAGTTGTCACAAGGCATCCTCAAAGGAAGCTGAAAGTAACAGCTTTTTTTTTTTTTTTTTTTTAAAAGCCCGAAGCCATAAACACTAAACTGTTGAAAATCCCATCAGTTGCTACTGTTAAGGGGAGCAGATGAGGCAGAAATACCACTGCACTGAGGCATCAGCTGCAAAGTCAAGGAACAGCCTACATTTAACCTTACCTCACTCATTTTTTAAAAAGGTAGCTCAAAACAGAGGCCACAAAATAAAGAATGGCTAGATGCAGCAGGAGAGAAGTGGGAGAACAGATCTGATATTCACTTAAGCCATACGCATTTTTTTTTTTTTTTAAATGTGAGGGCAAAAAAAAAATCTAGTTAAGCTTTCACTTAACTAGCTACTATAGTCTAGTACTAGTTACTATATGAATGTAGTAGGAAGAACACTAGCAACTCTCAGTAACCCAAATTAGTTCAGTTTTCCAGATAATTCATACAGTTCATACAAACTGCTTGTTCCTGATCTAAGCAAACATGTTTTTTGTTCTGAATAAAGAACTACCCTTCTTCAGGCATTCTGTTCCAGTCTGAGCCAGGATTGGCACCGTAACCTAGAAGCAGTTGATTGTCTCCAACTAGAAAAAAGGTGCATTCTTCATTACACAAGACACTAAGAAACAAAACCTCCAAGATAGCCCTGATCGACAACTCACGAAGACAAAATAGTTTTGCTTAATCAATCTTAACGTTTCAGCTACTGAAAAGCTCAGTAACATATAAATACTTAACCTTCTCTCATCAACTCTGCTCGTCTAAAATCCTGATGGCATTTGGGCCACACACCCCAGAAAAGCAAAGTTTTTACTGCAAATATCTCTAGAGCTAAAAGCAGCTTTCATGCTTCAGAAGTGTTACATCTTAAGACAGTACAAAGGCTTCACCCTTACAAGGGCCAAGCTTCTACAGATAACTTTAGAAAAGATCCAGTCCTTTCAGGTCTCAAGTCCTTTGGAGTCAGTCATCTCTTGCTGTTCATGAAGAGACTATTCAAAGAGTAACTGGGTTTTTAAATTTAAAAATGGCTAATTTCCAGTTCCACTCTGTATTCATTATTTTCTACTGTCTACTTGTAAGTTAGAGGTTATTGATTCTCTGCCATCAATTGCCACTTCGACCACGTATTCAACTACCTCTCTGAACATGACTTCACACTATGAAGATTTTAACTCTGCTGTGCTTGATGCATGTAGAAATCACTCACTGCTCCTGAACTGCTGTCCCTTAACACAACTGAAAGGAAGGAACAAGTTGCTATGGCAGAGAAGGTTGTAACATACACAGTAGGTTTCGCATCTACAATACTTCCATCACTTTCAGCTATTTTCTTTCTATGAACTGAAGACAACTCACATTAGCGTTCAGTAACATGGTTTATCTGCCACCTTACATCCAACAGCTACTAGGCAGTCAGTTCAGCAAGAACACGGCCATGCCTCCAGCTATTTTCCTGTCGCGTGTTACTTTGTGCTCAGACTCCTCTGCTATTCTGCTGGTCATTCAAGTTCCTTCAGGTGATCCAATGAGAAAATAAGCCAACGCTGTCCCCTCCATTTAACACCAAAACACATAACAGAAGCAGAAAGATATCTATTCAAAGCTTTTCAGCTAACTATTGTTACCCAGCTTTCCCTGAATTTTGTCTCACCAGTCCTTTAATAACCCAAGACTTCTTTTGAAGAAGGTGAGTCACCCTTCACAGGCTGAAAACCTGGTTTTGAGCCTGTTCAGTCTTCTCTGCCTACCTTCCCCAACCGTTATAACGTCTCCTGCACAGCGCCCATGGTACTGGGTGGGAGTTCCTCCTTGCACACTTCGCAGAGCGGATGGGGGTGGCAGCAAGGCTGCTAAGCACCAGACCACAGGCAAAGGCAGTGTTCAGCTGTTACATCAGCTCACATACCAGGATATCCTTCATTGTCCCCTCCAGAGCAACAGCAATACCACAGGTTAATGCTGCCCACATGCCAGTCTTTCCGGAAAGATTTAAGGCTGCCTTGAACGGCATTTCCCTTACTGAAAGGGGAGTTAATCAGTGTCCTAGTCCAGGAGTTTCACTTCTTTGTTTACAAGCTATTAAGATGAGCATATCAGTGCTACTTCCTGGCCATTAGAAATCCCATGCCACTAATATCCTCTTTTTCCTTAAGAGGGGTTGTGGTTTGTTAGAACTGAATCAGTAGCCAAATGCTTTGTGATTAATTCCGGTGACCTAGTAAGTTCGAAAAGCCATTCCACTCCTCAGCACTTCAATTGCATTAAAGTATCACTCCAATCAGCTAATAAATGGACATGAGCAGTGCTGCCACACTCAGCTTTTTTTTTTTTTTTTTTTTTTTTTTTTTTTTTTTTTTTTTTTTCAAGTTTCTACTACTCAAAACTATTCTCCACTATGCTTCTTCTTGCTGGTAACTTTGAAGCTATACAGATAAGAAGGAAAGATTTAGTGAGTTAAACATCTAACTGGGGTTTGATCTACAGTGGTTTAATAGCCTACTGAACCCAGGTATTTGTCCAATATGAATTCAAGAAGTTGCTCTGTTTAGATTTCTCTTTAGCGCACTCCACATACTCCCATGTTTTAGATCAATTAATGTAAGCAACCTGCAGACCAGTTTTAGGAGCTCTTGGAGACAGTTTTCTCATGAAATTTAAGGAGCCAGAGTGCAAGGGGAAAAGAGGAAGTAGCTAAAAAAAAGCCAGTTACACATGTGAGTTCTCCTCTGATATCCAGAGGAATTGATTAAACCAGCACTGTGGAACAGACTCTCCAGACCCCCTTCCGCAGTGCGATTAAACATTATGACAATGAAGCCTACAGTAAAACTTTGATGTTTCCTAGTCGTTTGACTAAAAGACTGACATGAGAAAACAGTAAAAGCATAAACAGCAGTTCACAAAACGAAGTCTTGTGACCACAGAATTAGGTGGAACCACCACACAAAACAGATAAGTCACTAGTCATTGTTTTACACCACATTCTGTTTTAAAGCATATCCTATCTGTCCTACATGGCAACAGGTGAAGTCTGCTTTAGTGGTATCAATTTGACAAGCACTCCTTCTAGAGTCTTTCACTGAATGGAATATAGTAGAAGCATGCACAGAGTTAAATTTGGATTTTTGACAGTAGTAGCAAAATAAACAGAACTACACTTCACACTGATTGAAGGCATTCTCAAATACAGAGCTGTTCATCTCGTCAGCTTTAACTCTGTCTACTGCAGACAATGAAGAACAGCTTATCCTTTAGTAGACTTACTGCTATAAACTAGAATGGACCAAATATTTCATAATACCTAAGTGAGGAACTGGGAAAAAGGAATTAACCAGAGACTGTTAACAAGAGTGGTTTCTAAGAAGTAACGGGCTTAATTTTTCCAAAGCACATTTATAAAAGACCATTCTCATCAAGCTCACCAACCACTTAACACTTAGTATTAAGAATGCTCCAGCAACACGTTCTTTGAAAGAAAATGAAGTCTGCCACTGTACTGCTGCACGTCTGATTCGGTTTCCATTGTAAAACTTCCCTTTAAAGAACATAATGCTTTAAAATTCAAGAACAGTCTTACTTCAGGTGGACTCCGTGTGCAAAGCATCAAAGCATTTACAGCTTGTCAACAAGCTTTGCTACAGTTGACTGTTGGATGAGAACACAGCTCAACTTCTCAGAAGGCTTCAACGCAGTGCTCTTGAATCAGTAAGAGTAGTCTGCTATTTTCAATAATAAGCCATTTCATCTTTCTGGTTCTTCCAAACCTCAGACTGAATTTGCACTTACCTGCAGTTTCAATACAAACTCCGCAGCTGGGTCTCTTCAGCTATGACACTGGAACCTGAACCAGCTCAGCCACTAGCCAAGGCAGAATTCATCAAATAAGCTCCCTACTGACCTACTGCCTCCCAGCACCAGCTCAGTGAGCAATATGGAATGCAATTAACACCACCATCTGTCTACCAGAACATGCTGTTGGCACACAGAAAGCCAAGAAGCATCAAAAGCTCCT